CTCACAGGGCTCTGGGGTGTCCCCCACTCTTGACTGCATGTGTACAGTAGAAGGTTCTGGTCCGACTGGGTGCATGTCCTCTCACTGGTGTCCATGGTTCAGGTCCTAAATGAATGGTTTTGATCTGTGACTGTCTTGACTTTTCAAACTTCCTTTATGGTCTTTGTTTTTTTTCCTTTCTTTCTTTCTTTTATTTTATTTTTCTTTTGTTTTTCGTTTGGATCCCCTGCAGAACACCAGTGTCGCTTCCCCTACTAGTCGGATGCCCGTCCCTTTGTCAGCGAAGACCAGGCAGTCGCCGGGTTCATCTGACAAAGCAGGAAAACAGCAAAAACTGCAGGAGGCTCAGAGGCAGTACCGACAGGTAGTTTTACTGTAGGGAGAGCAGAGGAAACAGACACACACGTAGGGTCGGAAACACGAGAACTCTAGAACCGTGTCTGGGACCAGAGCTGTTAGACATGAGTTCCATGATGGCCGCTGACCGTCTGTTAACGTTTCTGTCCGGTCTGCTCTGACCAGAAGGCATGTCTGACTGTTACTCCATAACATCACTTTACCTTCAGCTTCTGCATGTCCACACTGTGTGGGTGACTTCACGCAAACATAAGCAGGAAAGTGGCAGCGACGGGCGGCGTGGACTCGTGGTCACATGTCCAGTTCCTACAGTGTGTGTGAATTCACCGGACGCTTGAGGCTCTGTTCAAAACCACACCTTCACTGACTCTTCCTCAGCTTTGCTCTTCTACGCACCTCACGGCTGCACAGCTTCTTAACCCGACTGCCAAACACTGCCCCTAGTGGTAGTGGAACACTGACCCACTTGTCTCCTTGTCTTCCTGCTCTCACCCTTCCTCCCTCCTAACCCCGGTGTCCCCCCTAACATTGTCCTTCCTTCGTGTGCCACTTTCTGAACTCCTGAGAAAAACCTAACAACTGCTCCACCCACAGGTGGTGTGGGGAGGTGCCGCTCCTGTCTGCCACCGCGCTGTCTAACCCTCGTCGTCCTTTTTCAGCGGTAACTTCTCTCTCAGGTTGTGTTCACGCTGGTTGGTTCACCAGTGGGCGTGTCTGTGTTTAAACCAATCACCGACCAGGTAGAGAACAGACACGAGTGATGTCACAGAGTACGACCCCGAACGGTCGTGTGACTGACAAATACAAGACAGAAGGAGGCGACGACCACCAGCGCTAGATCTGAGCTCAGCACTTAGCATCGTTAGCATCGTTGTGACTACGTAGCCGCACGGTCGTGACGCAGTCGTTCAAACGTCAGTGTTAAGATGAAGAAGTCCTTATTTAGACTTTGTTACATACGAATAAGAATATGGCATGCCGCCCCCTATTGACTCACAGCATCACCGCCCCGGCGGTGGACTGTCTCTGTCCCGTCATGGACGTCCAGATGATGACCAGGTCGGGTCCCTGTGTGACCTTCACTGACCCCAGGTCGTTTTCTTATTTGCTCAGGACCAGCCATGAGTGTGAACACAGCCTGAGTTCTGTCATGTGACCCAGTGGTCGAAGACCTTCTGTGTTTTAGTACCGTTGTCAGTGATGTCAGTGATGTCAGTGATGTCAGTGTCTGTGTCCATAACTTGTAGTTTTATTTTAACATCGTCCTGCTGTTCTGTGTATTTTGTTCAGTAAATCCCTGTTTTGACGACCAGTGTTTGTCTTGGCATCTCTGTTTGCAGGCTAACGGAAGTGCTAAAAGAGTTGGAGGGGATCATAAAACTACTCCCCCTACTGGTCCCATTTCTAAAATCCCTGCTTTTTATCCCAGTGCTAACAAAGGCAGTTGTTCTCAAACCATAGATGCTACTAATCCCACTAACCCCCCCTGCTCCTCCTCCTCTGTGACAAAGTCTTCCATCCTGTCCTCTAACGCTCCTCGTTCCAGCACCCTCCCCCCCTCCTCCCACATCCCCTCCCTGTCTAATGGATCCCTCAAACCCCCCCCTCCCTCACAGCACACAGGTAAAGCTCTCTCGTTCTCCTCGCAGACTCAGAATGGTCGAGTGCACTCCTCCTCCTCCTCCTCTTCATTCTCATCCTCCTCCTCCTCCTCCTCTCCCTCCCCTCTGTCGCCCACACCCCTGGGCCAAGGTGGGAGGAGCATCCGCACCATACACACCCCCAGCTTCACCAGCTACCGGTCGCACAACGGCAGCAGCGGCAAATCCTGCATCCCGACGGTCACGTCGGCTAAGGACGCGGCTTAGCCTCAGTACCGCCCCCCTGTGGTAAAGTGCACAGCAGGTAGAGCTGGTCGTGTTTTGTTCAGTCACCTTGTTGACCTGTTTATCTAGTGTTTTTGTAAAGGTTTTAAATGATGCACTCCGTCACTCTGGTCCTGCTCACCGACACTGGCGTTCTCTCACTAGATCAACTTTCATTTTTCTGTCTTTTGGTTCAAATGTCGATTTGGATTCGCCGACTCGGGGTTGAACCAGATGTTAAAAAGTAAATAAATAAAAACTTTATAGATTTTTCCACGTTGTAGAGGAAGTGGAAAGTTTTCCTTTGGTGTTGAGAATCTATTTTTCTTGCCGTAGCTACTGTTATGAAAAGAGAATCTAAAGTTGATGTACAATCACAACAGAGTACTCTGTAAAATTGTCTTTTATTTTTCAGAAGCAGAGATTAAATAATCCTAGTCTATTTAATCTCCCTGTCCTGTAAATGCTTTTGATGTCTGTAATCCTGACCTTCACAGACGTCTTAGACTCAGATGAACTGTGTGTGTGATGACTTCTGTGTTGACAGGTCATCACGACTAACACCAGGTGTGAGTGGGTGTGAAACATGAGTGGTTGTTGTCCAGGTGTAAACTGTACTAAAAGAGTGTGTGTGTGTGTGTGTACATAGATGCTTCTACTGAGGAGACGAGTGGTTTTGTTAACACACCAAAGTTTCTTTGTCTGCATGCCTTCAGCTCCTGTAGGAGAGTGATGTAGAAGAAGTGTTTGCACAGATAGGTTTCTGTAAATATATTGCTCTCTCTCCCTCCCTCTCTCCCTTTGTCTCTCTCCCCCTTCTCTCTCTCTCTGTCTTTTTGTAAAGCTTTAAATCCTACCATAAAAGAGCAACGTGGTTATAAAGTTCATGAAACTGTTGCTGGAGTAGCAGGAATAAAGGAGTGCATGCTTGTAAGGCATCACTGGTCTGCTCTTTTATTTTGGTGGATCTGTATTTCCAGTGAGCGGGAACTTCACACCATGTGATGTCATGGATGGTCAGTGATGTCATGGATGGTCACTGGTGCTTTACCTTTTTAGTACTTAGTACTTTAGTACTAGATTCCACTGACAACTCTGTGTTCCTATTGGTCCTCCTCCACACGTGGGCCCAGGGTCAGGGTTGGTTGGTCAGAGATACAGAAACCACAGTCATGTTTCTTCAGGTTCTGCAGAACTTGGTCCATCCTCCACCGTCACCAGCCATGATCGTCTTCTCCAGCAGCTCCATCACAGTTTAATCACTTCTGCCAAAAAAATGTTATTAATGTTATTTATGAAAAAGTTAAGATTATTAAATATTGTATCATTAAATAAATTATTAAAATGTATTAAATGTTTTGATATGATATATTAAATATCGATCTATCTCTATACTCACCTACATATAAACATTAAATATAATATAGGAAAATCAAATTGTAAAGAAAGCACTAAGTCTATGTTTACTAATGACTCTAGCTCTTTAAAATCAAGTAATTCAATTGTAATATAAAGATTTACAAACATGAAATAGCCAAGCGTCAATCACATGAGTGAAAATGTCATCATTTCATCATCTGAAATTATAGTTCGCCTTTCTGTAGTTTGTCCCGCCGGCTTCCGTCTCAGGGACTTGTTACCAAGGCAGCCAGGAAGAAGCTGTGATCGATCTGGACGGTAAGTGTTTTTTTTTGTTTTTTTATATCTAGTTTTGTTTTATTTTCTAATGATTTTTTGTGGAGTGGCCTTCAGGGTAGAGTTTAAAGTTTATTTTTTCCAGTTTTACAAAAACTATTGATTGTATTTGAGCCCAAACGAGTCGAAAAACATTTTTTCGCGCTACGCTAACTTTGGCTAACTTTGAACAGCTATTGTAAAGTTTTCCTTTTTTTGGGAGAACAGCTATTGTAAAGTTTTCCTTTTTTCTCCCAAAAAAAGTGCAGCGTATGAACAAAGTCTAAACTAGTGACGTGTGATTATAACTAGATAATGTTGATGACATGTTAGTATTCCCAACTTTGATTATATAACGTTGTCAGCGGTGTCTCCCGGGTCGAGAGGGTTTTAGCCCGTCCTCAAACCCGAACCAGCTCCGAAGGTACCAGCAGAAACAGGCGGTCCTCGGTCATTACCTCCTTTTTGGTCAATGTTCTAAAACACACACACACATATTCATGTTTTTTGGTTTTATTTCTTCTGTGTCTTCGACCCAAAGAGTCAACTCACTGGAGAGCAACAAAGACTCAGCTGTGGTTCTAACAATCAGAGGCAGCTCCAGTCCTCGGTCCAGTCCTGTCTTTGTCTCTCAGGACCAGACATGGGTCTCCGGTGAGTCTTCAATCCTGGGCTGCCGTCATGGGCACTGCATCCTCTCTGGTCAGCCCAGGAGAAGTGATTGAAGATGGCTACGGAGGTGAGGGGGGGGAGGCCTGTGAGATCCCGGTGGAGGTGAAACCCAAGGCCAGACTCCTTCGCAGTTCCTTCCGTAGAGGACCCCGGGTGATTGGAGCCAGCTTCAAGTCCACCGGTTCCGTGGACCTGGAGTATGCTGCGGAATACGAGAGGCTACGGAAAGAATATGAAATATTTCGTGTGAGCAAGAACAACGAGATATCGTCCATGCAAAAGAAGGAAGCCAAACTGGATGAGGAAAACAAGAGGCTACGAGCGGAACTGCAGGTGAAATGACTGGACTGAGCCTTGGACGCCACTTCTGTTCCACAGCATCTTTGACGTTATTGGCTTTTTTTTTCAGGCTCTGCAGAAAACCTACCAGAAGATCCTTCGGGAAAAAGAGAGCGCTCTGGAAGCCAAGTATCAGGCCATGGAGAGAGCCTCCACCTTCGAACACGACAGAGACAAAGTCAAACGACAGTTTAAGGTAAAAATCCTAATCAGTGACACGGAGACGACCCTCGTCGGCGGCAGTTCTGAACCTTTGGCTCCATAACCACCAGATATTCCGAGAGACAAAAGAGAAGGAGATCCAGGATCTTCTTCGTGCCAAAAGAGATCTGGAATCTAAACTGCAGCAGCTGCAGGCTCAGGGAATTCAGGTGTACGACCCCAACGACTCGGACTCCGATGACGATCAGACCACTGTTACTGGTGAGTACAGGGACGGAACCACGTCATCGCCGCGTCACTCTGGTACCAACCGGACCGTGTGGTGTCTGAGTCGTGGTCGGACTCAGTCGACCCCGTACGCCTCGATGCTTTACTTTGTTCTCATTGGTCTAATTTACTTTACCCTGTAGCTGCGGGGACACAGTGTGAGTACTGGACTGGCGGCGCCCTAGGAAGTGAGCCCTCTATGGGCAGCATGATGCAGTTGCAGCAAACCTTTCGGGGCCCAGAGTTTGCCCACAGTCTGATCGACGTGGAAGGACCGTTTGCAAACGTGAGCAGAGGTGAGAAGAAGAACGAGACGCTTCAGGACAGGAACCGTTCAGTTCCGATCCCGGCCTGCAGGGGGTTCTTACAGGAACGACCTCTGCAGCAACAGTTGCCTCCAGCCGTGTTCTACAGTTGTGTGTTTTGTTTGTCAGATGACTGGGATGCTGCAGTGGCCACTCTGCTCCAGGTCGCCCCCCACGTCCCTCAGGCCTTGTGGAGTAACACAGTCCGCTGCTACTGGATCTTCACCCAGGAGACCAAGGCTGAGATGGACGTTTTCACTGAGGTGAGTTCAGCCACACAGTCACACACACACACACCTGACCGTTTTACCCAGAATGCCCTCTGGGCCTCACCTGTCTAATCCTGTTTCAGAAACACTCTGCCGTGTTACGGCGGCTGTGTGAGGCTCTGGGCCACTTCTACCTGAACGTGTGTTTCCAGGAGGAAACCGCCGACTCGTACGTTGTGGAGCGTAAGCAGGAGATCGAGCGCAGCTCCGTGTGTGTGCTGCTTCTGAAGTCTACGGTGTCCAGGTGCACGGAGCCGCGGGTTTATCCTCGGGGGAGTTCCCTTCCTCAGTGACCCTGATTGAAAACAATATTCGTGTGTGTGTGTGTGTAGCTCTGTAGTGGAGGACTGTGAGGAGGCCTTTGTGAAGAACCCAGAAGGGCACCCCCTGGTGCTCTACCTCAGGACTGAAGATGACCAGGGTCTGACCGGGGCCACCAGGCAGATCCTGGAGAGGATCAACGCTGCAGACAAGGCCGGGAAAATCAAGGTGAGGACCAGTGTGTGTGTTCACTAAACATCCACTAGAGGGCTGTCTGACGCTGTCTGTCTGTGGTGCGTCTGTGGCCCAGGTGGTGGACCACGGTGGTTCTGCTGAGGACGGAGCTGCGCTCATTTTCACGCAGCTGGAGAAGATGATCAAACAGGTGGATGAGTGTGGACGTTCAGACGACGTTCTTCGCTGTTCCACCTCCAACCTTCACTCACGTCCCGTCCCGTCCCGTCCTCACAGGAACTGCTGGGCCTGGAAGGAGCTGACGTGGACTCCAAGGACTCCGGGTTGGAGGAGGGACGAGAGGAAGACTCTGGAGACGTTCTGTGGGACCTGCATGATGAACAGGAACAGATCGAAGCGTATCAGCAGGCCTGCAGCAGCACCGCCGCTCAGCTGGGCTTCCAGAGGGTAGGGGGCCGTGGGGGCTGTGGGGGGGCAGTCTAAAAGTGTTGGACTTTTCTCTATAACTCTCGTCTCTTCTTCTGCTCAGTACATAGACCGTTTGAATGACATGATAGCTGCCCCCCCTCCGACCCCTCCCTTGCTGGTGTCTGGTGGTCCTGGTTCTGGAAAATCTCTCCTGCTCTCCAAATGGTAGTGGCGCCCTCTAGAGCCTTCAGGGTGTCCGCTGCTCCTCCTCCACTCACGGCTCTGTTTCCTCCTCCAGGATGGAGCTGCAGCAGAAACAGTCTCCCAACACTCTGTTCCTCTACCACTTCGTGGGTCGTCCTCTGTCCAGCAGCTCCGAGCCCGTTCTCATCATCAAACGCCTCACTGTGAAAGTACGCGGCGCTGCCTCCTTGTACTGCAGTAGTACTACAGTGATGACTGTGTATTTGTTCTTCTGCTCCGTAGCTGCTGCAGCATTTCTGGTCCATCTCTGGTCTGTCCATGGAGCCCAGTAAGATCCTGGAGGAGTTTCCTCGCTGGCTCGAAAGACTTTCAGCGCGACATCAAGGCAACATCATCATCATCATCGACTCCATCGACCAAATCCAAGTACGAGCTGGGCTTCGTAACCTCCGTCTAAAAGTTTTATCGCTCAGACTCAGACAAACTTCTGACTGGATTGTTTTTTCTCTTTTTTCCCAGCAGGCAGAGCGACACATGAAGTGGCTGATCGACCCGCTGCCCGTCAACGTCAGAGTGGTGGTGTCGGTCAACGTGGAGACCTGTCCACAGGCCTGGAGGTCACTCCTCTGATACAGTCACTAACACGTAGTACTACACGTACTCCTGGGTATGAATACCACTGATAATGCAGTAGCCCGTCTTTTCAGGTTGTGGCCCACACTCCACCTGGATCCTCTGAGTCCCAGAGAGGTCCGCAGCATCGTCAACGCCGAATGTCAGAGCATCGACCTGAAACTGAGCAGAGACCATGTGAGTGTGTGTGTGTGTGAGAGAGTGTGTGTGTGTGTCACCTGAGAATACACCACTTTATTGTTGTTACAGGAGAAGAAACTGGAAAGGCACTGTCGCTCGGCAACCACCTGTAATGCACTGTACGTCACGCTGTTGTCCAGGATGATCATCAGGTCGGTCCAAACCTCCAGGTTTACACAAACACTTACATTTGTAACGATATTTTGGGCTGTCATTGAAACAATGCAACAAGTTCACAAGTCGACAGTCCAGACTGGAACACAACGTTATCTTTGAAGTTAAAATTGTTTTATTTTTCTGCTGTTGTAATTATCCTTTAACTACAAAAACATTATTCTGAGTTTCTTGTTGACCTGACTGTGTTGGTGCTCAACAGCAGACCCTGCTGGTCACAAGAGAAGAGCATGGAGCAGTTTCTGCAGTGTATGGACACCATGTCACTGTATCGCCTGGCCCTCAAGGTGGCGCTAAGCTCCCTCAGCAAAGACCGGGAGCGTCATATCATGAGAGAGGTTCGTGTTTATTTCCCTTTGATCGAATTATATGGAGTTGGTAACGTTTGATGCAAATGTTACAGATTTGGTTTGACTGCCCTCTAGTGGACGTGGGGCGTCACAACAAGCAATTGAGTTTTAAATAACAGTAAAATGTGAATATTTAACATAAAAATCACCCTAATCATCAACGATCATCCTGAGGGGATGATTGACAGCTGTAGGTCACAGGCTCCTCCCATCATCAAGCCTGTGAACAGGTTGTTTGGTCTCCTCCAGATTCTGTGTCTTGCTTGTGCCAGTCATAACGGAGTGAGTGAGTCCGAGGTCCTGGATCTGTTCCCGGACCTGGACTTACCGGCGCTGTCGTCCATGCTGCTGCGTCTGAGCCGACTGTGCGTGGTCACCCTGCGCTGCGGCCTCATCAGGTTCCTGCACCTGCAGGTCACTGCTCACACACACTCACGCCTAAGGTCACATGATGTTCAGAGACCGCCTGATGGAAACCACTGGTTTGTGTGGACTTGTTTCAGGCCTGGGAGGCTGTGAGGCTGGAGTTTCTGGGTGGAGGAAGCAACACCGCCACCTACAGGGAGAAACTGGTCCATTACTTCAGCCAACAACTGAGGTGAGGTTTCCTCTGTCTGTGGGAAAACGGACCAGTCACAAGTCACACAAGTGTGTGTGTGTGCGTGTGTGTGTGTGTGGGCGTGTGTGTGCGTGTGTGTGTGTGTGCGTGTGTGTGTGTGCGTGTGTGTGTGCGTGTGTGTGTGTGTGGGCGTGTGTGTGCGTGTGTGTGTGTGCGTGTGTGTGTGTGTGGGCGTGTGTGTGCGTGTGTGTGTGTGTGGGCGTGTGTGTGCGTGTGTGTGTGTGTGGGCGTGTGTGTGCGTGTGTGTGTGTGTGTGCGTGTGCGTGTGTGTGCGTGCAGCCAGGACTGCGTGACGTGGCGTGTGGCAGATGAGCTCCCCTGGTTGCTGCAGCAGCAGGAGGACCGCTCCAAACTCCAGCTCAGCCTCCTCAACCTCTTTGTTTCCCAGAATCTCTACAAACGGTAAAAACCAAAGTCAACGCTGCTGTGACAGAGGGCGCCAAAGCTCACGCCGTGATTATTGACATGACATTCTACAACTCTACTGTGAATAAAAGGGGGGGTGATAACAGTCTGGGAGGAGGGTGGTAAAGGGTTAATATACACCTCAATAATATACTAACTCCCTGTCAGTCGTGGAGGATGTTGGTCCTGACGTCCAGACCCGGGCTGCAGGTTTGACCTCCTTCTGTTCTGCAGGGGTCACTTCTCTGAGTTGCTGGCCTACTGGCAGTACGTTGGTAAAGACAAGAGCTCCATGGCCAGTGAGTACTTCGACTCTCTGAAACACTACGAGAAGAGCTGTGAGAGCGAAGACGGCATGACCCGGTTGGCAAACCTGTACGAGACTCTGGGACGCTTCCTCAAAGACCTGGGCCTCCCCAGTCAGGTGGGGACGCTGCCCACGTGGGCGGGGCCAGATGTTTGTTGGTGTTTTCACATCCTAACTGCCCATGTACAGCGCCCCCTACTGTCTGTGTCCTCCTCCAGGCTGTAGCCCCTCTGCAGAGGTCCCTGGAGATCAGAGAGACGGCCCTGGACCCAGATCATCCCAGCGTGGCCCGCTCCCTCCACCAGCTGGCCGGCGTCTACGTCCAGTGGAAGAAGTACGGAAACGCGGAGCAGCTGTACAAACAGGCCCTGGAGATCAGCGAGAACGCCTACGGTGGCGAGCACGCCAGCGTGGCCCGAGAGCTGGAGTCGCTCACCGTGTTGTACCAGAAACAGAACAAGTAAAAAGTTCAATGTTGAAGAGAGATTTTCAGAATAATTTTTTTTCCCCTGGTAAATATTTTCTTTACGTTTGACCTGATGTTAATATTTTAAGGACTTCAGCGCTGCGTTCTGATTGGGCCTCATTTTCTGGTCAAATAAATGTATCTTTTTAGTCCGATTTTCCTTCCTGATCTTTGTTTTTCTCCCAGGTACGAACAGGCAGAACGGCTGAGGAAGAGGTCGGTGAAGATTCGTCAGAAGACTGCTCGTCAGAAGGGTCACATGGTGAGTACCTTTTCCTCCAGACCCAGCCTGTGATGTCATCGTCGGCCGTCAGCAGCTAACGCGTGTTAACGCCGTCTTTCAGTACGGCTTCACTCTGTTGAGGCGCCGAGCGCTGCAGCTGGAGGAGCTGACGTTGGGGACAGATTCTGCGGACTGTGCCAGAACCCTGAATGAGCTGGGGGTTCTGTACTACCTCCAGAACAACCTGGAGTAAGAACCCGCTCCGCTCCGACTCACTGACCACCGAACCGGGTCTGTTGGTTTGTCAATATCTCCGTCTTCTCACGCTTCCAGCGCAGCCAAGGTGTTTCTGAGCCGCTCTCTGGAGATGCGTCAGCGAGTCCTTGGTCCAGATCATCCAGACTGCGCTCAGTCCCTCAACAACCTGGCCGCGCTGCACACCGAGAGGAGGGAGTACGAGACGGCCGAGGACATGTACGAGAGGGCGCTGGACATCCGGAAGAGGGCCTTGTCTCCGGACCACCCCTCGCTGGCCTACACGCTCAAGCACCTGGCCATGCTGTACAAGCGCAGAGTGAGACCCGTCTGACCTTTGACCCTCCACGTGTGCGGCTGGTGTTTCCTGTCTGTGAACATGTGTTCTGTGCAGGGGCGGCTGGAGAAGGCGGTGCCGCTGTATGAACTGTCTCTGGACATCAGGGAAAAAAGTTTTGGACCCAAACATCCCAGTGTGGCCACAGCTCTGGTCAACCTGGCTGTGATCTACTGTCAGATGGTGAGATCACCTGACTGGACGGTCACTCACAGCTGTATATCTGCCTCTGATTGGCTGTCTGACTGTCTGATGTCTGTCGTTGGTAGAAGAAACACAGCGAGGCGCTGCCTCTGTACGAACGCGCTCTGAGAGTGTACGAGGACAGTTTGGGCCGATCGCACCCCAGGGTCGGAGAGACCCTGAAGAACCTGGCCGTGCTCAGGTGACCGCCGTTTCATCATCAACACCGACGTCGTTAAATCTGTGTTGAAATTAAACGGATCTTTTCCGACTTTTTCTTCAACAGCTATGAACGAGGAGACTTCGAGAAGGCAGCCGAGCTCTACAAACGAGCCATGGAGATAAAGGAGGCGGAGCCGTCGCTGGTGTGTGGTAACGCCCCGTCACGCCACTCCTCCAGCGGAGACACCTTCAGTCTGAGGGGCCCTGCTCCGGTCTCACATGTCCAGAGGTGACGAGTTTAAATTCCTAACACCTGGGGGTTCTGGGAGTTTTCTAATTCACCCACTCCTTACATCAGGGGTCTCAAACTTCTGCCCCCCCCCACAACAAAACAAGTAATAAGAAAAATGAAGGGAGGATTATTCCAGATTGGTAATCCCACTGTATTAATCTGTGAAGTCAGTGTTGAGACTCAGGTTTACTCAGTTATTTTGTCTTTGACTAACACACGCACACACACACACACAGTTTAACATGTTGTTCTTATTTAATGTTATTATTGTTATTATAATATTAGCAGAAAAAAAAACACATTTCCTTCCAAACGGACCAGTGTGAAGTTCTTTTGAAGATAAATACTTCAAAAGTTGAAGTTTTTTAACCAGTGATGTCATTTATATTTACCCACTAGTGTCAATCTTATTAACTGACTGAAAGTCCATTTTTTTCACTGCCAAATATATCCTGAACATGTATTTTTTTTTAAAACATACGACTGTGATTTACTTAAATGTCTGTGTATAAAAATGGACAGGGACCAAAAACAAACCAGTATTTTGAATATCGTATTCATTTTAATAAATATTTTATCAGCAGAAAATTAAACCAGGTTTTCATGAAGCCGAGTGTGTGATTATGGAGGAGAATTAAATGTTTCCTTCAGCTGTTGGTTCTAATCGTGCGTTAATGGAACCAGTCTCTGACTTTTCTCCAGACCATCAGCTCTGGGGACATTAGGTCTGGAACCAGAGCGGTGGACGGTTCTGGTGTGTTAGTAAACACGAGAACATCATCTACAACTTCCTCATCTGAGCCATCAGCTCTTCTAAACTCTGCTCCGTCTCCTCCACCGTCTCTCCTCTGCTTGTCTCCTGGTCCAGACAAACAAACACACACAGAAAACATTTGAATGAGTTTCTGTGTAGAAAATGGACTGAGTTAATGATAGTAATG